AAAGAGACATTTGAAAGAAGACATCACAGTTCAAAATAAAAGTAGCAAAAAGGAGGTTTTCCTAAGATGAAAGATAGATGGATACAAATATCACAGAATAGGTGCTAATTCTTTTATTATTTACTTATTGTGAAGGGGCAGAAGAGCTGAGGCTACCTTGCAATGTCAGTTGAAAATTTCAGTAGACCAAGAACAGATATCAATGACTGATAACACAACTGTTTCCACCTAAAGTAAAACACTCTATCAAAATTTTGACCACTAATTAAGGGTTCTCCTTCTGTGATAATTCTTATTACAGTGTACCAAGCAGAAAAGGTCTTGCTTACTTGAAGAGGAGTGGAAAAGAGAAGTGGACTACAGGGTGTGTCTGTCCTCAGTCCATCTGTTTGCCTTTGGAGGAGCTGTACCCTCAGTCACTAGAAGTAACCAAAGGCTTTCTCTACTCGCTAGATAACTGCTCTTGATTTTCTTTTGGATATATTCAGCATTGGGATAGACCACATAACCAAGGCACTGCTATAATGACTCTGGGCAAAGGCCTGGCTTGACTCTGCACTGCAGTATAGTCAGTTTTCAGCTTTGTTTGGCCAGGTTTGGTACTGCAAAAACAGAGTTCATTTAGCAATACTACACCTCAGCAGCTTTCTGGTCTCTTTAGCCAGGCTGGGCACAGAGTGGGGCAGCAGGAAATGCTACTGATGCTCAGTAACAACTGCACTCTTTGCCTCTGTTCTAGTTCTGCATGGCTGTCATTGCCACCACGATGCCAATCCCCTGTGGAGGCTTCATGCCTGTTTTTGTATTAGGTGAGTTTCAATTTTGTTTTGCAGCATATTCATCTGACAGGGGGAGAGAATAGGAGAGACATTGCCTACACATCCAGCAGGGTTCATCTGGCATATGAGGAGTCATCACTTGATGTCTATGACAACCTGATTAGCAGTCCATAAACCAGCCTCTGGGTCTCTGCTTTTGACATTTCCTCAACCCCCTGAAACCAAATACCAAGTAGGTAATCTCTACCCTTTTACATAAGGAAGGCCACACTTGGGGAGACATGCTGAGCCATGGCCTTCTAATCTTTATGCTTCTTCACTTACAGAGAAACTTCCACCCTACAATTAATAATAGCTGCTCCTTTCAACCTTGAGAGCCAGCCAGAAGAGATAACCTCAAAGCTAGTACCCACAATGTAATCTACCACTTACTCCTTTCTTCTGGCTGAAATGCGATAACATAAAAAGTTTATCTACTTTTAACAGGTTTTAATTCCAATCACAACAAAAAAATTAATATGATGCTAATGTTAAGAAAGAGAGGCTGTGTTAGACTGAACTATACAAGCTCAAGATGCTCAGCATTCAGTACCCACAACTCTCAAATGAAACAAGGTGCTCTAAGGACCCCTGAGCTCTGGCAGGCAGCAACTGAACATGAGGCAGTACCACACCCTTGCAGTGATGAAGGCTAACCAACATCAAGGCTGTATTAGGAAAAGATTTAGACAGCAAGGCAAATAGTTTGTTTCTATGCATTCAAACAAGATATACGTGACTCCATCTCACTTTTAAATCAGCCCTTTTCTGAGCAGGAGTAGAACAAGAGCTCCAGAAGTCCCTTCTTACAAAAATTTTTCTCTAAGTTGTGATTCTAATGTTTAGACATTCACAGAATGTGAGTCTAAAAGGCCTCAACTGTGATCTGGACTGACACTGGACACAGTCTGAAAATATGTCCTCCAGCCTGGGAATCACAGCTACTGCTGTGCCTGGTGTGCCCAAGTGAATGAACGAGGTGTGAACTCTATTTACCAATCTTAGTACCCTTTTTTCCTCTTGGAGTCAAACTTCTGTATTTTGTAACTGAGATCTACTCTTTAGTTACAAGTATTATTTTAATATAAGCTTTATCTTTGTTTCTGTTAGAAAATACCCAGGTGATTGCCCAGCACAGCTGCACAGCACAGACTGGATGTTCCTTAAATGTTAACTCCGTAACTGTCAGTGATATTTTTCAGGTGCTGCATTTGGACGTCTCATTGGGGAAATCATGGCATCGCTTTTTCCCAATGGGATCCTCTTTGACGACATTCTCTACCAAATCTTACCTGGAGGATATGCTGTCATTGGTGAGCCTCCATGTCTTCCTTTTTCCTCACCTGGTCCCACTGCTGCAATTTTCCAGTTGACATGATATGCTGTTTCTATATGACAGTTGTCTTCTCTCCCTGTTCCTCCTCCTACCTGGGAAAGGTGCAGCAGCTTTGACAGGAGCGGTGAGCCACACTGTCTCCACTGCTGTCATCTGCTTCGAGCTGACGGGTCAGATCTCTCACATCCTGCCCATGATGGTGGCTGTCATTCTTGCCAACATGGTAGCCCAGAGTTTGCAGCCCAGCCTCTATGACAGTATCATCCAGGTGAAGAAGTTGCCCTACCTGCCAGACCTGGGCTGGAATCACATAAGGTAGAGTAGCAAAACAGGTGGAAAGGAAATAAACCAGGAGAGAGTTAAGACCACAGGGGAATAAAAGGTTATGAAAAGGGTCCAGTACTACAAAGGAATTAAGAAGGCAGAATAGGCCTGCAGTAAGAAAAAACAAGTGTTGGAGTAGAATTAGGTTTCATACACAAAAATGGAGAAAAGTACTCTTCTTTTTTTCACTGAAAGCACAAGTTTGAATGCAATGCTACTGAATTTTTGTTAATATTTCCAAATTGCCTCAGCTTAAAAATTTAAAAATCAGGAGTCTCACTTATCTTAATTCAGTGGGGTTTGGATATTTTTTTCCCCAGCAAATGTTTGAAATACTTTATTTGGATATTTTGCTTGAAGCAAAACTCATCCTATAAATGTCTTCCTCTCTCTTGTATATATCATACACATAGGTATGTATATAAAACCACCTATACATATATGTATACATGTGTGTATTTTATGGTGGGGGTAGCAGAGTGGAATACAACTGTAATGTAAATCCAGTTATCTGTATTTATACTCTTGGAAAGCCCTCTGGTTACACTCACAGAAGATCATTTGGCAGCTGTATTTTGACCACTTTTAAAAAAAGAAGTAATTTAGGTGTTTCTTTAGGGAATTATGTGCTTGACATTTTTAATATGCTCACTCTTCCTCTTATCATCCCTAAATTCACAGCAAATACAATATCTTTGTTGAGGATATTATGGTCCAAGATGTGAAATTTGTGTCCTCCAACTGTAAATACCGAGACTTGCAAGAGGTACTCCAAAGCACCACAGTGAAATCTCTGCCTTTGGTGGACTCGCCAGGTAGGCAATGTGGAGAAACTGTTCCTTCCTGAAGACTGTCTCAGCTTGGAGAAACTAACTTTTGAATTACATGGTGTGAAGCAGGCAGGTTGACCTACCACATAAAAACAAAAAATTCTAAAAAACTCCCACCACGGATGATGTTTGGCAGACGGCTGTTTCAGCTGGCCAGACAGGGAAGCTGGAGTGTGGGCAGTGAAGCAGATCCAGCACATAAGGGAGGTGTGTGGGAAGTCTGTAGACTGAACTGTGATAACAGGACTCTCCTGGGATCCTGCATGAGCCAAGAGCATCCATGGGGGTGGCACAGCTCAGGACAGCCAGGTCCCTTCCCACAGCCTAGGAGCCACCACAGGGCTGGTCAGTGACTCTTGTACAGCTCTAGATAGCACGAGCCTGAGCACCTGGAAAAGGCTGGAAGGAGGAAGGGGTGATATGTGGAAGGGGTCCTTCAAAACCTTGAGGAGGTTTAATGGCTCCCCTGCTCTGTGTTGTGCAGAGTCCATGATCCTGCTGGGCTCTGTGGAGCGGTCGGAACTGCAGGCTCTCCTCCAGACACACATCAGCCCCGAGCGGCGACGGCTCCTCAACAGAGAAATGCAGCAGAAGCTGAATGAGGCACCCTACGATGGACCCTGGGCAAACCTGCCAAAGCTGAAGCACGACTCTTTTGCTTATGTCGATGAGGATGAGGATACAGAGGAGAAGGGAGAGGTGAGGTAGAGAAGTGGACAGGCTACAACACAGAGACTTCTTAGAAGCAGGCTTTTGGGGAGGCTGAGAAATAAATGGCAGAAGGTGAACTTTATTTTCTCTCCTTTCTGTAACAGCTGCCTCGTCCTCCAAGTCCCACTCCCAGTTACCCAGAGGAGCCAAATGGCCCAACAAGTCCTCTTAAACAAATGCCTGAAACCTTGGAGCCCCAGCAGCACTCAGGTATGGTACCTTCTGTCATGGCTCAACCACATCCTAGCTAGCTTGGGGAAGCTTTCATGCTAACTGTGTGTACCTGCCTGTGTGAGGTGCTGATTTCCCAGAGACTGAGAGGAAGAGCTTTCTCTGCTGTTCCTCAATGAAAGACATTTTGTTAGTGCACCTCAACATCAGTGTAACATACCTGGAAATACCTTCTGTTATGATCCCTCAGGGAGCATGGAATAAGTAGGCCCTCTAAGGATGGACTCTCTGTCTCCCCACTCCATTCTTTGCAATAACAACTCCTTGGACATTTTCTGTAGAGTCTGCAAAGAACAGTCCCTTCTCTTGGCTCCTTCACCACATGAATTAATCTCCTTGGGGAAAGCAGCCTGAGAGCTAAATATCTGCACTAAGTTTTTGAGTAGCTCAGCCATCTCCAAAACTGAAGGCTTCTCCCTTGGACACACATCTCTTTGATTCAGCTGCATTAATGTAATGGACAAACATTGATGTATTGTGCTCCTTTGTGTCACACCCCAGCCTGCATTAGCTTTGCTTTCAAGACTGTACTCATAGCTAATTTCTGATTCATTTATCATTTATATGTGATGCAGGATAGTGGGTTGTTTTTATCCTTTATGCATCCTGAAATATGCAGAGTGAGTAAGCACAGAGATGTAGCCCAGTCTTGAGAATGAGTACAGAGGGTAGGGCTTTAGCTCATGCTTTTAGGCACCCAAGTGTTACATGTAATAGAGTATATAGGACATTCTGATTCGTTAACACTCCTCGTGTGTGACTAAACCTCTAAGGCATAGAAAAATCCACTTTATGCTTCCAGAGCAGTGGAGTGGTGGGGCAGCCATCCACCTATCCTACCAAAGCAGAAAAAGAACCACATCTGAAAAGAAGGACAATGCGTAAAACATTTTACATGAAGCTAGAACTGGGTGACCTAGGAACAACAAAAGGAAGTGGAACAGGAATGATTTCATGAGACCTTGCTTTCCTTTTTTCTGTTTGGCTCACAGCTATCATTGTTTCTGACCAAACTTCCTCCACAGCCTTGTCCACAACAGCATCAGGCCCTGTCTCCTCCACTTTGCTAACTCCCTGTCCAGGAGTATAATTCTGGTCTTTTCTATTCCTATCATTCCACTGCTGGCAGAACACATGGACTCCTCACCCCTTGGCACCTGTCACATCCAGTTTGTTGATATGCTTTGTTGAAAGGGAATATTTATTCTGGAATGTCCCAGACACCATCTTACAAACTAAATGCCAGATTGTGACCAGCCCAGCTCTATCGTGTCCCTCATAGTATTTCCCAGCCTGCCTTGGTTAAGAGGATGTGATAGGTGTGGGGCTTTGTATTTTTGTCTCTCACTTGTTCTTCTCTCTTATCCACATGTTCTGTTCTCATCCTTCAGGCAGTTTCAGGAGTCTGAGGAAACTGATCCAGCAGCTCTTGTGCCATTGCAGCCGTCCACATGAAACAGAGAGCACCATCCAGGTTAGGGCTACAGAGAGCCTGGGAGTACCCTGAAGAAGGAAGGGAATGCAATGGAACTAGAAACTACTATTTGAGGCATTCAGCATTTGGCTAAAGCATGGACACAATTATGGTCCTGATCTCTGACAGCATCAGTGGGAAACTCCCTCCAAGGAGAAAGGGTGTAATTACTGTAAAGGAGTGTGCATCTTCCTAAAGAGTCACCTGTGCTCAGGTGTCAGGCAACCATCATGATTGAGTTTGGGCATCTTTTCTCAGTGAAAAAAATTAATGATATTTTGGCTAACATGCAATAAAACACAGTTCTATTCCATTTGGCAAACAGTTTTGGACAGATGGAGAAAAATGAAAAAAAACATGCTTTTGGCTCTTGTCATGTTAAATGCCCTTGGTTATCTGACACATCTGCACAGGGTTTGGGGATAACAGAGTTTATGGGAGACCCATCCACTCCAGGGCAGTGGTTGGACCCCATGTGGGATATCCCAAGAGCATCTAAATCAGTATTAGATGGCCATATTTAGGCACCTGAATTGCTCCAGCAGAACTCCATGGTGAATTGTCATTGGCAAGGGAAGCACAGCAAGGGCAGAGTACACCGTATAATGGATGAGTATAAAGAAAATCTCAGCACTTGGAAAATCTAATGCACCATTTGGAACAAAAAGGGGACCACATGGGGTGGGGAGGCTGTGCAGACTTTCCTTTTCTGTACTCTGTGGAACTGTGGGTTCCTTGGCTGTCCTGAACAGTGTTTTCTCCTACAGGAGCCAGTGGAAGTCATTGAGACAATGACACCAGAAGAGGTAAGCCCAGGTGCAAAAACTGAGTGAGGTCATATGAGTGCTTCTTGTACCCATTTCCTATCACTTGCAATACTCCAGGAACCCCAGTGATTGCCAGATAAAGTCACAGCCAAAGCAATTTTCTTCTTGGAGTGGCACAGTGGGCAAGTCTCGCCCATAAAAGAAGAGACTGGCTAGATGTGCTGGTAAGACTGACTAATCTGATCTAGCTTTGAAGTCAGCCCTGCTGGAGCAGGGTTTTGGACTAGAGGCCTCCACAGATGCTACCTCATCTAAATCCTTCTGTAGGCCCACGTTGTTCCTTCATTTCTTACACAATGGATCAATTATCTTGCAATGACAAGGGGAAGATGCACTCAGAAAGGAAAGCTAAAGATGTTCACTCCCTCTTTAAGAAGTTAAAAACAAAACTTCATCTTCTCAGAAAATCTCTGAATTGCCCTGTTTCCACAGGGACTTGAAATCTGGTAAAAAAGGGATGGGAAACATGAGGGGTGAGATATAACAGACAAGATGAATGCTGTACATAGGAAGGAAGAAGCATTAACAGAGAAGGGGACTAGTTTGGTTACACAAGAGAGCAATGGTGCAGGTAGCTGCAAGAGTGACTCCCCTTCTTTCCTGTGTCAGATAGATGCTTGGGAACAGGAGGAGCTGAACAAGAACGTGTGCTTTGACAGCTGCCGCGTCGATCCCTCCCCTTTCCAACTGGTGGAGAGAACCTCCCTGCACAAGGTGAGTGCAGATGTCTCCCTGAGGCATTCATCACTCTTCTCCACTCATTCCAAGTCCAATCTATGACTTATTTCTTCTCCTTGTCTTCACCTACAACTACTATCACCAGCCACTTTCACATGGAGCTACAGAAGTGAGCTTGTTCCTGTAATCTTCTGTGTATATCTCCAATCTCCTGCAAAATGAAAGGCTTTGTGATAAGAAGTCCATGTCCATTTATTTAAAAAGCTTTTGGATAAAAAAAAAAAATCTGCTACGTTAACAGCAGCATTGTGTGCCTTGCTGCTGAGGCATTACACTGAGATTTACACTCTGCCCTGTCAGTGTGCAGCACTGGAATGAGCACTCCTGGATTTCTCAGGGTGTTTCTGTCAGGGTGTAGAGTCTGCCTGTGTCACAGGCTCTTCATGGAACTGAAGCACAAGGAAAGAGGAAGCTGGATCATGCAACATCTAGAGTCAGCAAAGGATGACAGGAGAGTAAAGCAATCATCATGTGTCAGGAGGAAGATAGGACTGAACTTTTACTCAGTGGAAAGGGAAAGCAGTCTACTGAAGCAGAAGTGCACAGTGCATGCTTTTATCAATATTTAATGTGAATGGTTAGCATAGGCCTTATACCAAATTAATTACTGATAAGATCTCAGCCTTGAGCAAAACAAGAATAGGCTAATATATAGTTCAAATTAGTTTTCTGAAGGAGTGGGTGAAGTAATCTGAAAACCACTAGCATTTATCTTTGAGAATATAGGCTTACAAAAATTATACCTGAAGGCTGATCATGGGGAAAGTTTCATACCTGTCATACAAAAGAGCAGTGAGAAACTCTGAAATAACAGACAAATCAACTTAACGTGGATGCACACACACAAAAAAAAAAA